ATGTGCTTTTCAATAATATATCTTATAAATTTCTCGAGATATTCTAGATCAGTATGAATCGATTAGTATATAGTTAAATAGAATCTATCTTTTGCAAAGTATTTCTTTGCTCCGTTTTGTCCTTTCTTCCCTCCTCCACTACTCACAACGATGCAATTCCTTCTTTTCTAAAGTAATTTGAAATTAAAAAACAAAAACAAAGCAAAATAAAAAGTAAAAATTATTAATAACATTTTCTGATAATAATGCTAGCAAATTTAGCACTGATAGCTAAAATAATACAACAATGACGAACAAAAAAACTGAATAATACAATCAAAACATCTATTAATCGATGAAGCACTTAGTAAAGTAAAGTAAGACTAAACGGTTAGTTAGTTAGAAGAAGCAAAGGATAATATTTGTTGCTGTGAAGACTGAGAAAATTTTTTGCTTATTGAAAGAAAGAGGAAAAGATTGAGAGTTTGTAAGACATAGAGAGGAGCTTAAAAAAGATCAAAAAATTGCAGTTAGTGTTGGCTGCTAGTCGTTATGTTACCTGCTACAAGCTTAAAAAGATAAATAGACAGTAATAACGATGAAATTATGAATGATTTAGAAATGATTATGATGAATCTTGTTATTATCTAGAAGTTTTAGTAGAACCATTGAATCAAGCAAATCTGGCATTATTAGCCAATGAAATGAATACAATTAAATAAATAGACAGATAGATAGATAAATAGATAGATAGATAGATAGATGGATAGATAGATAGTTTCAGAAAAATAGATAGCTTAGATGGAGAGATAGTTTAGATGCATAACTACAGACTAACCGTGTTGGTTAGACTGAATTCAAGTCAAGAGTGATCACTAAACTCTTAAAAAAACTTGGATCTTTTTTTTTCCTTCGTGCAAACTGAAACTAGCACAGACTAATCTACTTGCCAAATTAAGCAGGAAGTTGATATAAATTTATGCTAACTGTAATGAGACATAAATGATGATTACTACGGCATAACAGTAGCATCATTAGCTATATTACTATTATTAATGTATGCGTGCACCTAATCATAATTATGGTAGCAATGTTGATAATAATTAGCACTACTGAAATGATAGTTATTGCAATAATGATAACAATAGTGATAATAATGATGACTGTATTATTAATTCTAGTCACTGCATTATTTCTGATACGAGATAAAATATGCAAAAATATTAGCAATAAGAATAGATAGGAAATGAAGAATTTTCAAAAGTAAATATATAGCATAATGCCGAAACAAGCAAGGTGATAGCTTGCCTTGCATATAGCATTATCAAAAAAATCATCCTAGAGCAAAGTTTTGTGCTCTGCTAGCATTTATAATTTTTCCGCAAGTGCAATTTGAAGTAAGCAGACAAAAAATAGATTTATGATCAATGCATTGATTTTTTTGATCGGATTAAGATCAAGCCTTTAATTAAATTAATATGTTTTTAATCAAAAAATACGACTTTTTTGGCTGTTGAATACTTAAATTGATATTAGGAGGAAGATATTATCAGCAATTGAAGAAAAAAAACAGAAAGATAGTATACTTAGTAAATCGTTAAATGCCAAATAAACTCTCATTGTTGAAGAAGTAAACTTCTTATTATTAATCATAATACTAATTCTGCTTATTAATTATTTTATAGCAATTAGTTGCTGTGAAGCTTAAGAGCGTATAAACTCTGCGTTGTTGTTTACTTTGCAAAAGTTTTCAATCAAATTTCAAACATTACAATGTAAACAATGATGTCATTGTTATTTACAAACATTGGCAGGTCATTCTGAGGTGCAAATTTTTCAGTGCAATTTTATTCATCAATAATTACGCTAAAAATAAACGTTTTATTACGTATTTATCAATAAACTTTGTATTATGAAAAAAAATTAAATATAGAGCATTTTAAAGTTTGCAAGTATTTATGCATGTAATTAATTTAATATTTCTATGGTAAGTTTTACAAATATTAATATTTATCACACACAGTTTGAAAGAAATTCAAATTTGCTTTATTATATATTTGAATTAATTATTAATTTAGTTGTTCAAAGATGAATTTAAAGAGCAAAATTATACTTTAATATCTTTTCAAAAATGTTATTAGTTTTATAAATTTTGAAGTAAGAAAACTTTGATCAACCTTTTGCTTTGAAGTGAAAAAAAAAGAGTCAAATTGATTAATTGATCTAGCTCGACAAGACTTATCAGTTTTCTAAATTTTCACATCATCACTTCAAAAAAGTTTTTTCATTCACATATGTTGCTGATATGAGAGTTAATTTACTTTGATACTAAATTTAAATCTCAATAAGTAATTACTAATAATAAAGTAAGCAACAGATAAGATTATTAAAATCGACACTCTACAATGTATAATAAGTAACAGCAAACTGACAACTTAATTTTCAATTTTTGTATTTATTAATTTATTTAAAGCTTTATCTCACTTGAAATTGCTGACAATATGATTGTTTTATTCCAACTTGTAGTACAGTTAGAATTATAGTGACTGTCACAAATCATGGAATAAGGCAAAAGAAAAGGTCAGTGCTAATGATAAGGTCAAGTAGTGAAAATAAATTTTTACTGAAATTTTCAAAATTAAAATTTCAAATTATTATTTGACTTTTAAAAAAAATCTCTTTAAAGTGTTATATTCTATCAATTAAATTAAAATAAATTAACATATCATCTTTATTCACTGGCTTAAAATAAACAGTATTCTACAAAATATGATTTCACTGTATTCTTACAAAAACTGAAAATATTATCAAACATCACAGTAGTTAGATTTTCCTTGATAATATTATCAGTATTTAATAACCATTCTTACAAATATTATCAAGCATCACAGAACTAATTATAAACTTCTTTTAGCCAAATTCATAAGTTTATTTATAAGATTACTTCTAAAA